AGAGAAAACGGCATCCAACATCACCACATCTAACTTTATGGGGTGAACATTCATGAACATGTATGATTAATAGACCTAATGCTAGGATTGATGATTGGGTATGATTGGGGTTAGCACATGTCCAGCTTTGGGATCCTTCAATCTTAGCTACAAGGTGCATCATCCAACCGCATCAGGTTCACAATCCCCATTTTTGTGGGAAAAGTCTTCCAAAAAGGGAATCCCCAATTCATTTATGGTGCAAGTTCTGGTGAAATCTGCAGAACTTGAATGAATCTGATGGGTTCCCATGGGTTCCCAATGCCAGTTCGAATCCCAGTTCCAAACTAACCAAGGTACCCAGTTCCTGCGCGTCCTTGGCAGCTGAAAGCCTGCAGAATTCTGGAGATCAATGGGGTGGAGGTGCTTCTCCATCATTTTTTTTTGGTGCTGGCAGCCAACCTGAGGTAAGCTGACATGTGATGGCCCCGTATGGATCACATGACTATGTGACACTGACATGTCAGTATATGGTTACATCATCATCACTGAATGGTTACATCATTAGCCACATTTATCCACATTTAACCGCCAAGATCAGCCAGGAGAGCTAATTGTCCCGCAAGACTGCTGTACAGGTGTGGCTGAGTGCATCTCACATGTGCTGGCTGGCTCTGTATCTCTCGTGGCAGTTCCACCAAGTCCAAGTCTTAGTTTGATCCAAAAAGAGGATTCGACTCCTGGAATCGATCTGTGGGAAACTGACATAGAATGGACACCTGAACATGGGAATGACCTTGGGACTGACATGACAAACAAGAACCAAAGGTGGGATAATTTGGGATAATTTGGGTGGACATCATTTAGTTGCTTACTATGGTACCAGTAGGCTTATGTTCATATGCTCACTGGTGATTCCACCTGAGGCTTGCAACCTGCTTTGCTTCGAAAAGGCCCAGGCCATTTTGATGGTGATGTTAGTGATACCCTCTGTTAAACTAACATAGCAATGGAAAATCACCATTGTTTACGGGAAAATCCACTATAAATGGCCATTTTCAATAGCTATGTTAAATTACCAGAGGGTATTACCAATGTTGGACCTGCTGAACTCCAAACATGTGGCTTAGCTACCTGCCTATCATGCTGCGATGTTGGAAAGGCGGCCCATCGGCAGTGCTTCTTTTGGAGGCTTGGACAGTTTTCAGTTTACGCCAAGGGCGACATGAGATCGACGAAAGCTTCATGTCGTTTTTATCCCTGAGGTCATTTGTTGAGTGATGCTCCCCTACCAGTAGCAAAATTATGCAAAAATTGTACAAAAAAGACATCCTAATCAAACCACTCCTTCTTGGATATTGGATACCCTCCGGTAATCAAAGGTGCCAATTGAAAGCCAATTTTTCCAGCTAGAAAGCTCCATGAATAGATATTAATAGTGGGATTTTCCCATTGATCCATTGCAGATTGTCCCATTCAAATCTCCCCAGCTCTGGCAGGTTACCGCCGAAGGGCCCAAGGTGGCTGGACCGCCAGTCGAAGCCACTGAGGAGCAGATTCGGGTCCAGGTCATGGGGATGCTGGGGATACAGGCCGGGGGGTTATTAATGGTGAAAAAAATGATGGTTAATACATGTTAATACCATGGTTGATAAGGCTTAATAAGGCTTAGTAAGGCTGTTATTCATGGTTAATGGGAATCACCATGGCAATAACCTTCATAGGTTGGGATATCCCTACAATAATGGGAGGTAGTGGAATTGCACCTCCCAAGTATCAAAAAGATAGAAAAGTAGAATCCTACCCAGATAGTGATAGATTACTTTTCGATCTCTTTTAGTGATTTTAGTGTTGCTACAGTGCTGGAAGTTCCGGTTGATGATTTGTTCCGTGATCATCCTAGCCAACATACTGGGGATTATCATCCATAAACTGGGAATCCCTATGAACCAACCATAATGAAGTGACAGAGGGTTGTGAACCTTGCCCACTTAATTTTGCACCAATTCAATACAATTTATGGGTACCCTTGAACTTGGATGGTTGATTTTGGAAGATGATCATCAATCGTGGGTAGGTCATGACTTCGGAGGAAGTTCCTACGGACTGTCGATCATTTTTTTTTGCTGGGTGACGGTTCCAAGCACTTCGTAGGGCACATTCCCATCCCAATCTGAAGTCAATCTGGTTGTCAAGAGATGCACTTCGCACTTTGTGGTGCAGCTCTTTCCCTTTTCCCCAACTTTTTTTTTCTAACAGGGTACCAGGTTGGACCCATCCAAGCTGTGCGAGGACCGGCCCCGCAAGCTGTCTGTGAAGGAGCGCATGGCCAGGCGGCATGGCTTGGATTGCAGCCATTGCAGCCATTGCAGCCATTGAAACAGTGGAGATCCCACCCAACACACCCAGTGTTTCGGGAGGCAAAAATGAATAAACAATAGTAAACTACTTAGTAAACACATCAAATTGGAAATTGGCAAAAGCATTTGTTCAAGCATTTCAAGCCCCAAGTCTTGATCATTCTTGACCTATATGCAGTGGGATTTTAAGATATTTTAAGGCTACCGGCAGCAGGCTGGCCGCGGCTGGGCTGCCTCCAGGTGCTGTCGGAGTTCAAATGTGCGGCTCTCAGGAGATGGATCTCGACTCTCTTGCTGCAATTTTGGAATGACAAATATGACAATTGGCTGAATTTTGATTGCAACATATTGCAACTGATTTCAATTTCTTGAACCTTCATCAATCTTGGGCATTTTGATTCTTAAATGAGGTGACGGAAATCCTGCCGTCAAAGACCTTTGGAAACGCAAGTATGATCTCAGGCCGATCGCAGAACCGGAGACCCAGGCGCCTGTGGTGCTGGCCTGAGCAAACCAGTCAACATGGTAGTTTTAAGATCACCTGACTTGGTGGCAGTGGTTGTGCCACTCCAAACAAATTATGTTTGATGGAGTAAACAGTCCGATCTGAACAAAAAGACCCCATCTGAACAATCGAAAAATGGAAGCCCACATGTGGTTGTAACATCTAGGAACGCGATTTGAAAGTCTCTTTAGAACTTTAGAAGGTTTCCATCCGCCGTGTGCTGACCGAGGCGCGAGACGCTGTACCAGTTGGGAACAGCACGGTCGCTGCAACGACTGCTGTGGCTAAGGCGGCAACGGGGCGGCAACGGGCGGTGAGGTCTGCACCACTGAGCCCAATGGATGGCCCAGGAGTCGCAACCAGTCGCGGCAGCGTGGTCTCCGCAGCTTGGTCCGTTGAGTCGGGGGGTCGGAGTTTGGCCATGAACAATACCGTCTTCTTTTCTGGCCGGACTGGCCAGTTACATAATATATTGATACACATGTACAATTATATAATCTATACATATCGCATCTTATTGCCACTGGGTATTGTAATATATACATATATGTATTCAATACATAAACCCTCATCTTCTTGTTGTTGCTGCTACTGAGGCCGCCACCTCAAGGTCTGAACCAAGCAGGCGACGGCTCAGAGAGGTGATGGGAATTGATGGAGATATAACTTAACCACCAAACCCAGATTGGGGAGAATCCCTACTCTTCGAAGAACTCTTCTTGAGTTTGTTTCTGGTCTGTGGAATCCGATATCTTGAAACCCGCCGAAGTGCTATGGCATCAAGGCATTCCCGCTGGCCATCCTTCTGCGGAAATCATCAGACAGCGCCCTGCAACGGCTAGGAAGAATCCCGGGAAAAGAGGCATGTTGGAGGGTCAACTCTTTCCAGAGAGGGCTGATTCATAGTTGAATCCCCAATTTTCTTGATAGGACATTACTGAAAGATGTACCCCTCCAGTTTTTATTGAGCTAATTACTGCATAGATAGATATGTGAAATCATTGCTTGCCCTAGGCAATGATGATCAACGGTGGATGTTCCGTATGTTGATTTGCTGGTGTTGGCCATAGGTACTGGAGCGCAGTGCAGGACACTGGCTATGGTGCGCACTTTTCTCAGGGACAACATGGCACTGCGACAACATGCCGAGCGCAGTAAGTGGACGTGGCCATGTAAGATATGCCAAGTAGGATGGGGACAAATATGAGGCACTAATTCTCTAGCCCCTAATTTGCTTCTTTTGGTGAATTGGACAACTGAACATCTACCAAAACTGATGAACTCTATTATTTTCTGCAACTCTTGAGGCCATATGCTTACCTTGGTGCCTTGCCGATGGTGTCCTAAACTCAGAAACTTAGATGTTGCAGAGAACTGGGGGTACAATGCAAGCAAATCCAAAGCTGATTGTGCAAGAGTGCCAGGCAGGTAGATCACCTAAAGACAAGGGTGTGTATCAAAATTTAAGGCCCGAAGGCCCAGAAGTCATATATATATATATTTATATGTATACGTATATATATATATATATACACACACACATGTATTTAAGTTTTAGTCATGCAAGAGCCCATACTGTAGGTTTTAGCTTAACAACCCAATCTTTTGGACCCGGTGGAATGCTGGAGCTCCCAGCTCCTGGTGCCTGGCAGGCCCGGCCTCACGCGGCGTGCGGAGTTGCCACATGCCGCTTGAGACCAAGGGAACCAGCGATTTTTTGGCCATTTTTGGGCGTGAAACCATGAAAGATCCTCGAATCTCGATCAATTTTAGGTCTAAGTTCGAAGCATATACAAAAATCAGCGGGTTTTGGGAGTTCAAACCATTGATTCTAAGATATGGCAGAGATGGAAGGGATACTATCTCTTTCTGCCTCCAGCCTTGAGGCGAATGTCGAGGCACCTCTTTCTGCACCAGGACGTTGCCGGTTTTTGTTTGCCATTGTTCTTCTGTTGAAATCTCAAACTTCAGCCAACATCTGCAGTATTTCATCCCAATTTTCAGTGGTAATTTCTATAAAAATTATCGTATTTTACTTCTTTTGCCGTCTTTTGGGGGATTTTTGGGAGCGAACTAACCGTTGACCATGGCACTCTCCAGGACCCATGAGCAGCATGGCCAGCTGCCTGAACAGCGCAGTACCGGCCATGCCAGCCATGCCCGCCATGCCCGCCATGCCTCCCATGCCTACGATGCCGGAAAGTTCAAGCAGCGTTACGGCCTCAATGGTCAGATGCCAAAATCATACTGGGTACAGTAGCCCCCAAGAAGATGGAAAGGAAATTCCGACGAAACTAGTGATTTTATTCACGTTTCTATCTTTTTGGAGGTTACCATAGATTTTCTGTAGATATGGGAATGGGTTACCTATGATACCATATTGGCGGGAATGAACATCCATTTACCAGCTCTATTGACGTTCACCAGTGGGTTTTGACTCATGGGGTTGTCCAAGAATATACTGCACTCCAATTGATGGCCAATTTGTCATGGGGAAAATTATGATGAACGATGATCTCTTTGGGTACCCTGTTTCCAGACAAACCCAGGGGTGTCTCTAGGGACCGACATATCGGCTCTGTGACTCTGCAGAGGTCGGGCGATTTGTTACAGGGCCATTGACCTCCTCAGTATCAAGCTCAGCAGGGGACGTGGGTTGATAGGAATTTTCAACAACCAGAAAGCTTGATAATGTCTACACTCGGGGCTGCTTATCCAGTGCTTGGTGGGGATTACACATAGTGATATACACAATCTAAAGTAATCTACGGGAACTATGTCCTTTTGGCTATGAATCAATTACATTTTCATCATTTTGAAGCAGAGAAACTGTGATCACTGAGGCACCCTTGAGCTCAGTGTCCATGGGTGAGTTGGTGGCTGCCATGCGAGAGGTGGTTTAGGACTTGGCCATTTTCCTGTTTGCCGCAGCTGCTGGGAGCTGAAAGAACCATTGTTGGTGCCCACTAAGGTCAGGGCTGAAGCCACACCAGAGGGCTGGCAGGTGGGTGCAATGCACATTTGATCCGTAACGCCACAAACCACCTGGCGTCAAATTTCTTTCGACCTGTTGGGATTCAGCTATTTATATCGATTATTATCCCATCATATCCGATGGTGAATTCTCATAGAGGCTCGACTACACGTGAAGCCATGATGGATGTGGGAAACCACCTGGCTTCGCTCCAAAGGCTGAACGACAGAAGTTGGAGCGAAAGGCCTGGCCTTTCGAACGGACCAAACATTGGAACTTTCAGGAGCTACCAATGCTGTTCCTTGCGCATCTTGTGCCGTCAAGCTGAATAATAGCAATGTGACATGGCTAAGTACAACTCATACTTGCGCTTGGAACGGCAGCTATCCAGGCAATGTGCCTGAGTTTGTCGTGCTACATTCTACCGTATTCCACCAATCTTTGTCCCATGAGCACGAGTGGTGTGGGTCGCCAACGCGAGCGGAGGCTTCACTGCTTGAAGAACAGCTGCGCTCCTCTAAAATTCACCAGGAGCGGGGAGACTGGGTACCGAAGGATACCGAAGGTTAAGGACTTCTCAAATCTAGCCATGCTAAGCCATTAGGCCATCAGGAAAGCACGTACAGCATTACCTCGGATTCGCCAGGAGCAGTTGAGGGAAGCGATGAGGGCGCAACATGCGCAGCTGGCCGAAGCACAGATGATGGCGTCCTTCCGGCATGGCGCAAACATCTTATCATTTCACTAGAAACCAGAGATTCTGAAGCCTTTCACATTCAAGGCGTATTCATCATATCCAATGATGTATCCAATGATGTATCCAATGATGTATCCAATGATGTATCCAATGATGTATCCAATGATAGCTATGTTGCTAGGTAACGGTCAATCAGAACCAGTCACCCAAGGTTCAATGAGTTTTCGGTGAATTCCGATTCAAAGGGGTTTGCAGCAGCCAGGCAGCAGATGCGAGAGCACCAACTCCGTTTGGATGGTGACCGACAGATGAGGTGCCTGAAGTCGATTTAGAGCTATGATTTCTTATGAATCACGGTACAACAAGTATAATATTACATCTAGAAACACAACTTGCAGTGACTATTTGTATAATTACAAGTATGACAAAAACGCAGGATTGCGTAGGTACAGGTATGATCATGAATGTACACCAATGGTGTAATGCATATATATATAAATGTACATCGATACGCATACACATAGCACTCATATGTGTATGCAAGTATACATTATTATCTCATTATACACTATATTCATGATGTATAGTACTTACAGTATGACATAGTACAACAAATTTTGAACATTTTGAACTTAGCCATTCAAAACTCACACACCTACATAGAAAATATATACACATGTCATAGTATCATGAATACCCTGTCCATTACCCTCGGACTATCCAACATGGCTATGGCGGCTATGTTATAGATGGCCCGTAGAAATAGATGGTTTACCAATGTTTATGGACGTTTCCTAAAATGATCTAAAATATTTTTTTTTCCATAAAAACCTTACATTTTAATCCATTTTAGGGTACCCTCATTTATGGAACCCCCCAAATCATGATTGACTCATTGGATTGGTTGAAGGGAAAATCTGGAGCGGAAACCATGGTTTTCCCAATGAAATTGGTAGGGGGTTCCTGTAAATTTAATAGGGAAATAAATAGGGAAATAAATAGGGAAAGAAATAAGGAAATAAATAGGGAAATGATAGGTACATAATGTATCGGAATATAAAATGGACACAATACGTGAATAAATAGTGAAATAATAGCGTAACCATATTATGGGAATAAATAGGGAAATATGACGGGAATAGATTGGGGAATAAATCTGAAACAAAATATGGGAATAAATGAACTAAATGGGGAAACAAATAAGGAACTAGAGTAAATAAGGAAATAATTAGGGAAATAAATAGGGAAATAAATAGGGAACTAAATAGGGAAATAAATAGGGAACTAAATAGAGAAATAAATAGGGGAATCAATAGGGAAATCAATAGGGAAATAAATAGGGAAATAAATAGGGAAATAGATAGGGAAATAAATAGGGAAATAAATAGGGAAATAAATAGGGAAACAAATAGGGAAATAAATAGGGAAATAAATAAATAGGGAAATAATAGGGAAATAAATAGGGGAATAAATAGGGAAATAAATAGGGAAATAAATAGGGGAATAAATAGGAAAATAAATAGGGAAATAACTAGGGCCTAGGGAAATAAATAGGGGAATCAATATGGAAATCAATAGGGAAATCAATAGGGGCATAAATAGGGAAATAAATAGGGAAATAAAAAGGCAAATAAATAGGGAAATACATAGGGAAATTAATAGGGAAATAAATAGGGAAATAAATAGGGAAATAACTAGGGGAGTAAACAGGGAAATAAATAGGGAAATAAATAGGGGAATTCTTAGGGAAATAAATAGGGAAATAAATAGGGAAATGAATATGGAAGAAAATAGGGGAATAAATAGGGGAATAAATAGGGAAATAAAAAGGGAAATAAATAGGGAAATGTCTAGGGAAATAAATAGGGTACTAAATAGACACTAAATAAGGGGTAAATAGGGAACTATATAGGGAAATACATAGGGAAATAAATAGGGCAATACAAAGGGGAATAAATAGGGGAATAAATAGGGAAATGAATAGGGAAATAAATAGGGAAATAAATAGGGAAATAAATAAGGAAATAAATAGGGAAACACATAGTGAAATAAATAGGGAAATACATAGGGAAATAAATAGGGAAACAAATAGGGAAATAAATAAGGAAATAAATAGGAAAAATAAATAGGGACATAAATAGGGGAATCAATAGGGAAATAAATAGGGGAATCAATAGGGGAATACATAGGGAAATAAATAGGGGAATAAATAGGAAATAAATAGGGAAATAAATAGGGTAATAAATAGGAAATAAATAAGGAAATAAATAGGGAAATAACTAGGGAAATAAATAGGGAAATGAATAAAGAAATAAATAGGGGAATCAATAGGGGAATCACTAGGGAAATAAATAGGGGAATCAATAGGGAAATCAATAGGGAAATAAATAGGGAAATGAATAGGGAAATAAATAGGGAAATAAATAGGGAAATAAATATGGAAATAAATAGGGAAATAAATAGGGAAATAAATAGGGAAATGAATAGGGACATACTAGGGAAAGAACTAGGGAAATAAATAGGGAAATAAATAGGGAAATAAATAGGGAAATAAATTGGGAAATAAATTGGGAAATAAATAGGGACATCAATAGGGACATACATAGGGAAATGTCTAGGGAAATAAATAGGGGGAATCAATGGGGAAATCAATAGGGCAACAAATAGGGAAATAAATAGGGAAATAAATAGGGAAATCAATAGGGACATAAATAGGGAAATAAATAGGGAAATAAATAGAGAAATCAATAGGGAAATAGATAGGGAAATAAATAGGAAATAAATAGGGAAATAAATAGGGACATAACTAGGGAAATAACTAGGGAAATAAATAGGGAAATAAATAGGCAAATAAATAGGGAAATAAATAGGGAAATAAATAGGGAAATAAATAGGGAAATAAATAGGGAAATAAATAGGGGAATAAATAGGGAAATAAATAGGGAAATAAATCGGGAAATAAATAGGGAAATAAATAGGGAAATAAATAGGGAAATAAATACGGAAATAAATAGGGAAATAAATAGGGAAATAAATAGGGAAATGAATAGGGAAATAAATAGGGAAATAAATAGGGAAATAAATAGGGAAATAAATAGGGAAATCAATAGGGAAATAAATAGTGAACTCAATAGGGAGATAAATAGGGAAATAACTAGGGAAATAAATAGGGGAATCAATAGGGAAACAAATAGGGAAATAAAAAGGGAAATAAATAGGGAAATAAAAAGGGAAATAAATAGGGAAATAAATAGGGAAACAAATAGGGACATAAATAAGGAAATAAATAGGGAAATACATAGGGACATAAATAGGGGAATAAATAGGGACATAAATAAGGAAATAAATAGGGAAATAAATAGGGAAATCAATAGGGCAATAAATAGGGAAATAAATAGGGAAATAAATAGGGAAATAAATAGGGAAATAAATATGGAAATAAATAGGGAAATAAATAGGGAAATAAATAGGGAAATAAATAGGGACATACTAGGGAAAGAACTAGGGAAATAAATAGGGAAATAAATAGGGAAATAAATAGGGAAATAAATAGGGAAATAAATAGGGAAATAAAGGGAAATAAATAGGGAAACAAATAGGGAAATAAATAGTGAACTCAATAGGGAAATAAATAGGGAAATAACTAGGGAAATAAATAGGGGAATCAATAGGGAAATCAATAGGGCAATAAATAGGGAAATAAATAGGGAAATCAATAGGGAAATAAATAGGGGAATAAATAGGGGAATAAATAGGGAACTAAATAGGGAACTAAATAGGTAAAATCAATAGGGAAATCAATAGGGAAATAAATAGGGACATAAATAGGGAAATAAATAGGGAAATAACTAGGGAAATAAATAGGGAAATAAATAGGGAAATAAATAGGGAAATGAATAGGAAAATAAATAGGGGAATCAATAGGGGAATCACTAGGGAAATAAATAGGGGAATCAATAGGGAAATCAATAGGGAAATAAATAGGGAAATAAATAGGGAATAAATAGGAAAATAAATAGAGAAATCAATAGGGAAATAGATAGGGAAATAAATAGGAAATAACTAGGGAAATAAATAGGGACATAACTAGGGAAAGAACTAGGGAAATAAATAGGGAAATAAATAGGGAAATAAATAGGGAAATAAATAGGGAAATAACTAGGGAAATAAATAGGGGAATACATAGGGAAATAAATAGGGGAATAAATAGGGGAATAAATAGGGAAATAACTAGGGAAATAAATAGGGAAATGAATAGGGAAATGAATAGGGAAATAAATAGGGAAATAAATAGGGAAATAAATAGGGAAATAAAGGGAAATAAATAGGGAAACAAATAGGGAAATAAATAGGGAAATAAATAGGGAAATAAATAGGGAAACAAATAGGGACATAAATAAGGAAATAAATAGGGAAATAAATAGGGACATAAATAGGGGAATAAATAGGGAAATAAATAGGGAAATAAATAGGGAAATAAATAGGGAAATCAATATGGAAATAAATAGGGAAATAAAATAGGGAAATAAATAGGGAAATAAATAGGGAAATAAATAGGGAAATAAATAAATAGGGAAATAATAGGGAAATAAATAGGGAAATAAATAGGGAAATAAATAGGGGAATAAATAGGGGGGAAATAAATAGGGAAATAACTAGGGAAATAAATAGGGAAATAAATAGGGAAATGAATAGGGGAAATAAATAGGGAAATAAATAGGGAAATAAATAGGGAATAGGGAAATAAATAGTAGGGAAATAAGTAGGGAAATAAGTAGGGAAATAAATAGGGAAATAAATAGAGAAATCAATAGGGAAATAGATAGGGAAATAAATAGGAAAAAAATAGGGAAATAAATAGGGAAATAGGGAATAGGGAAATAAATAGGGACATAAATAGGGAAATAAATAGGGAAATAAATAGGGAAATAAATAGGGAAATAAATAGGGAAATAAATAGGGAAATGAATAGGGAAATAAATAAGGGAAAATAGGGGAATCACTAGGGAAATAAATAGGGGAAATAGGGAAATATATAGGGAAATAAATAGGAAATAAATAGGGAAATAAATAGGGACATAACTATAGGGAAATAAATAGGGAAATAAATAGGGAAATAAATAGGGAAATAAATAGGGAAATAAATAGGGAAATCAATAGGGAAATAAATAGGGAAATAAATAGGGAATAAACAGGAAAATAAATAGAGAAATCAATAGGGAAATAGATAGGGAAATAAATAGGAAATAAATAGGGAAATAAATAGGGACATAACTAGGGAAAGAACTAGGGAAATAAATAGGGAATCAAATAGGGAAACCATATTATGGGTTAAACCAATCCAGTGATTAACTGATTGTCGAGTACCCTACAGCCGCAGGGAGCTGGAGATCGAGGCATCTCGAAGAGCCCTGGAGGCCGAACTGCGGCAAGCCACGTCTGAGGCCGGGGCCGGTTGGAACTGTCGCCCCGTGGATTGAACCCACGAAAATGACTGGAAAACCAAAAATTGGGTTGAGAAACCCGTGAAAACCATCAAAAAACAGGTTGGAAACCAATAAGAAGTCAATTTTAAGCAACCCCAAATTGGGTTGAAACACCAATAACCATTGGGGTTTAACAAAGAATTGTGCAATATAATGAAAACCATAAGGGGAATCACAAACGTGAAACATGGACATGGGTCAGATGTTCACACAGTTGAACATCATTTTGAAGACTGAATTATCGCATTTTTTGCGACGGCTCGTTATTCGTACCCTGCAGGCGCAACAGCTACGAATGTTGCAGGAGGGATAAGGAAACCAACAGCTGATACTCCTACTTTTGTTTATCTTTGGGTGTATGATATGTATGATATGGATGATTATTGAGTTGCCAGCTGCTTTGACTGTCACCTGGGTATCCAGGAACAAACAATCCATCGTATATTCGTCATACCTGGACCATCATTGGTTTAAGGGAAAATCTACAGGAAACCCCAAGTAATTTCATAATTTCATGGGGAAAAGCATGGTTTCCGGTTCAGATTTTCCCTTCAATCAATCCAATGATATTCTCGACTTCTTGGTGACGCTTCTTCCATTGCTTCGGCCCAGGAGCAGCTCACCATATCTTTGGACCATCAGCAGAGGGCTGGGGCCGTTGGATCCTGGAAGCCAGTGGATGAACGTTGGGATGAAAAAACAGAAGATGTTATAAGTTATATTGCGATTTATATTGGTAGACTATAGTATCATAATGTACAATATACCACCTTGGTAGACTATAGTATCATATTATATAGTACAATAATATACCACCTGCTATGATACGGGCAAAACAAAAGCTATATAATCCACAATTGGGCAAACACATCTCCATTTATGGGAGTATACAACCCATCCCCCAGTCTTTGGTGGTAGAACGCCCCTTGTTGATCAATTCTTAGCGCTAAGAGCGCCATGTTTTGTCGCAGATGCACTGTTGGGGTTTATGTTATCTCCCATTCACACATATGATATTATATATATAATATATCGTTCGTCATTTTTTCATGGGATATTTTAACAACTAACATTAACAAACATATCTTTTTTGATCCAATCTTAATAATCTTTGGTGAATTGGAGACTAAGAATTTCCAGTCAAACTCCGATTTTCCATATGTGTTTAAATTTGTTTAAATCCTACAAATTGTTATATCATCACCCCAATTTCCAGCCATTTTCCAGCACCGAGGCCGAAAACACTGCGGCGGCCGCCTCTGGCAGTGCTGCATCCCTGATGGCGGCCGAGGCCGCGAAGGTTGGTTTAGATGGTAGGGAATGGTAGATATAACAAATATAGTTGACTGTAGTTATCCATAGTTCGCTATACAGTAACTATAGCTATCTATAGTTAACTGTAGTGAACTATAGTTAACTATAATTAGCTATAGTTAATGCATTTTATAATCCAACTTATGATGTTTGGGGGGGCACACCTTGCAACTATAGGGTTAACGATTGGGTTTATGGTGGATTATGTTTGTATCGTTAACTACTGGGGTTTGTGAACCGAGAAACATAAGTTTGATGTTGGAAAGAAGTGGATGATATATTGGATCATGATGAGGGTTATGCATCTATACGAACTTGATGTCGGATGTAAAGGGTGATAATCAGGCTAATTCCTAGTATACTGGCCATTTTATTGTGGATATAGGTGACAAACCTGGGCCACAGAATCCCCAACTCCGATGCTTTCACTGTGGGGAAAATCGACAGGAACCAGGAACCCCCTCGATATTGTAAACCCATGGGTTTTCGATGATTTTTCCCACCGCCATATGGAACTTATGGAACCCTGGTCCTTCTCGTGTCGCTACACGGTTTCCGGGGGCTCTTCTTTGAGGCGCGCCTTGCTGAGCATGTCCAAATGGTGGCAACGCTGAGGCGATGTTGCGAGATCTGGCAGAATTCGAGTTGACCGGTTGAGAGACACCCAGCTGTTGCACTGTTGACCTATAAGATCCCCCGCAAGCCTCTGGGCTGTTTGCTTCATTTCCTGAGTTTTAACCATGGGATGTCTGTAGATTTTGAGAGATTTTCGACAGAAGAGTACTTTGGGATTTTTGGGCTCTAACATTTGAGACAACGCCCACGCCATTCAGGGAGAATAGTGCTGTTTTTTGTTCTGGACAGGCAGCAGCTGCAGACAATGACCGAATCACAGACAACAGAGGCTTTGCCCAGGAATGCTGCACTTTGGCATAGCTCAACATGAGTGACCGCACACAATTGATCCAAATTTCAGATGAACTCGGCTATGCACCCAACAATGGAATCCCACAGATGTCATAGACGATGTTGCCAGGCCATCTCCATCTGCAGAGGCGTTTTGGCAGTGGCATATGCTCGGCGACCCAGGCGGTACTCAGCCGGTGATGGGATGTGGAGCGACGTGGAGCGACGTAGCAGCGACGTTGTCTTCTGAAGCAAAAAAAGTGAGGTAATTGATGGTAAAGATAGTTATAATTAACGTAAAATATGGATATATAACTATTGATGGATAAGATTTAAGCGCTTACGCGCAACAGCCGGCCAGGGGCCCAACCATGGGGGCCGTGGCGGCGGACGTAGGTGTAGTGGTTCTTGCAGGGACCAAGACTGGTTAGTGCGGTTGTTGTGGTTGTTGTTGTTGTTGCTGTTGCTGTTGCGGTTGTTGCGGTTGTTGCGGTTGTTGTTGTTGTTGTTGTTGTTGTTGTTGTTGTTGTTGTTGTTGTTGTTGTTGTTGTTGTTGTTGTTGTTGTCGTTGTCGTCGTCGTCGTCGTTGTCGTGTTGTAGTGGCTGCAGTGGTGATAGGTGGAGAGGGAACGATGCCTGTGGGAAAGTGGTGCCTATGGGGCATGTGTTGGGAAAGGCATGTTGATAGGCAGGAGGCCGTCGCTTTGGTCAGCTAGAGCGTTGCTCAAGCAAGTGTCCGAGCGTTGCTCAGACCGACCAGAGCAGGGCAGCGGTCAACCCGGCGTGTTTTGATGTGAAGAGCAATGCAGGCAATCCCACGTGGCACGTTTACCGAACGGTAGCACAGGCAGGGTGCAGAGCTTTGGTCAGCCGTTTCGAACGTATTTCTCGTATCCTTGCCGACTGAACGTTCAAAGGGCATGCCGCCTGTAGGCACCAGGTTCTTTTGTTTCCCGTCACAACAAGGTAAGAGATGTGTACCCCGCCTTGCCGGCAGATTACCCAGCGAACATGCCGCCTGAGAGCTGCTCCGACCGCATTCGCAGACAGGCAGTATCCGAATTGCAAACCAAGCCAGCAGTTCACTGCACGGATCCTGCTGCACCCAGGGCGTTACCCAGGCACTCGCCAAAGCTCAACCGTTCCTTCCCGGCGGTGTGTTTTAATTCAAACACGGCAACCAACGAAAATAGAGGGTCGGTCTGGTCCAGGTGTTCCGTCTGTTGGAGGGTTGGTCTGCTCCAGGCTTTCCGTCGCGATCGCTTTGCCAGCAAGGGAAAAAGCATGTGTACAGTGAACGCAGCCTCTGTGGAACCGGCCGGGAGGGAAGAAGTGTCCGGAGTAGCTCGTTTGAAGCCTTGGTCAGCTAGATCGTTGCTCAAGCGAGAGTCAGAGGGTTGCTCGGATCGACCAGAGAAGGCCAACCAACCCGGCTTGTTTGGAAGGGCATGTTTAGAGAAGCAACGTAGGCGATCCGGTGTGGCACGTTTTCACAACGGCATGGCAAGTTTCGAGACCGGCATGTTTAAAGGCAGGGGGCGGTAGCTTTGGTCAGCTAGAGCGTTGCTCAAGCGAGTGTCAGAGCGTTGCTCAGATCGACCACCGCGATGCCTCTGCCAAGAAGGGAAAACGGCCTGTGTACAGTGAACGCAGTGTCCTGCGTGGCATGTTTAAAGCCGTGGTCCGCCAGAGGGTTGGTGAAGCGAGTGTCAGAGCGTGGGTCAGCAGTGAACCCAGCCTGTTTCAATGAGCAGGTCTGTCCGATGAATTGTGTAGCTTTGGTCAGCTAGAGCGTTGCCCAAGCGAGAGCCGGAGTGTGGCGCGGAGCGACTAACGTCACAGGTCTGCAAACAAGTGTAGACAACGGCCAGCCGTCAACCGCCGAACTCACGTCGGAGGTGATGTCAAACATAGCGCCAAGCGCCTCCACTGTCACGTTGCGGATGGGGTACGAGAAGGATCTAAGTCTTGCATCCGTAGCCAAACAGTTTCCCGCACATCGGGCAACAGCTTGGTGGTGAGAAGATAGAGACGTTTCGGATTTGAACCCGGCAGCCAGCTTTAAGACATAGCGCCCGTTGGAGAGTTGGTCTGCTCCAGGCCTTTCGTCGCGATTGCTTTGCCAGCTAGGGACAAAGCACGTGTACAGTGAACGCAGCCTGTGTGGAACCGGCCGGGGGGGAAGAAGGGGCAAGGGCAGCTCTTGGTACAAGCCCAGGATATTGCATGAAACGGAAGCAGAAGCGCAGCACGAGCCCAGTGTTAGACCAATATTGATCCCAGCATATTCTCACTATAAGCCCAAGATTATAAGCTTAGTATAATGTCAATATGAAGCCCAAGATTTAGTGCAGTAGAAGCTTAAGCTTTAGTTCAACCGGTACCCCATGATAATAGGACAGGATAGTACCCACCCATATCACTCCCACCGGCGGGCGACGTGGGCCGAGCCGGTGGCTAGGTGAGCCGGTGATAGTGAATTAGAATCCCAGCACTAGCCGACGTTAAACCCAATATTTCTCCCATAGTCCCATTATAATCCCCGTAGAATCTCCATAGTAAGCCCAAGGATCTACCCACCTATAGCAATCCCATCGGCAGGCGACGTGGGCCGAGCCGGTGGCCAGGTGATCGCGTGACAGTGAATTTTAATCCCAGCACGAGCCTACCACTTAATGAAGCCCCATATTTCTCCCAGCATAGTCCCACCATAATCCCGCGTGATAGTGAATTATAATCTCAGCACTAGCCGCCTACTTAAGCCCAATATTTGTCCCAGCATAGTCCCACCATAGTCCCGCGTGATACTGAATTATAATCTCAGCACAAGCCGCCTACTTAAGCCCAGTCTTTGTCCCAGCATAGTCCCATCATAAGCCTAGTAGAGTCTCCATAGTAAGCCGACGATTTGGTCCATTTGAATGCCAAGACTTACGTCTATACGTCGCCGATGTGAAGAGCTCATGATGGCAGCTACCAAAAGAAAAAGCATGCGTACAGCGAACGTAGCCTCGGTGGAACCAGCCGGTAGGGAAGAAATGTCCTGAGTGGCACGTTCGAAGCCTTCGTCAGCTAGAGCGTTGCTTAAGCGAGAGTCAGAGCGTTGCTCAGATCGACCAGAGAAGGCAAGCGGTCAACCCGGCTTGTTTTGCAGGACATGTTGAAAAGCGCACCGCAGGCAACGGCATGTCTACCGGCACGGTGCAGGAGCTTTGGTCAGCTAGAGCGTTGCTCAAGCGCGTGTCAGAGGGTTGCTCAGAGCGACCAGAGAAGGCTAGCGGTCAACCCGGCATGTTTTGAAGGGCATGTTTAGAAAAGCGCCGCCGGCAACGGCATGTCTACAGGCAGGGTGCAGGACCTTAGGTTAGCTAGAGCGTTGCTCAAGCGCGTATCATAGCGTTGCTCAGATCAATCAGCGCGCAGCTGACGACTTGGTCCAGTTGAATGTCAAGACTTCTGTCCATGCGTCGCCCATGTGAAGAGCTCATTATATATGGTATCTACCAAAAGAAAAAGCATGCGTACAGCGAACGCAGCCTCGGTGGAACCAGCCGGTAGGGAAGAAATGTCCTGAGTGGCACGTTCGAAGCCTTCGTCAGCTAGAGCGTTGCTTAAGCGAGAGTCAGAGCGTTGCTCGGATCGACCAGAGAAGGTAAGCGGTCAACCCGGCTTGTTTTGCAGGACATGTCTACCCGGCATGTTTTGAGGGCATGTTTAGAAAAGCGCCGCCGGCAACGGCATGTCTACAGGCAGGGTGCAGGACCTTAGGTTAGCTAGAGCGTTGCTCAAGCGCGTATCAGAGCGTTGCTCAGATCAATCAGCGCGCAGCCGACGACTTGGTCCAGTTGAATGTCAAGACTTCTGTCTATGCGTCGCCCATGTGAAGAGCTCATTTTATATGGTACCTACCAAAAGAAAAAGCATGCGTACAGCGAACGCAGCCTCGGTGGAACCAGCCGGTAGGGAAGAAATGTCCCGAGTAGAACGTTCGAAGCCTTCGTCAGCTAGAGCGTTGCTTAAGCGAGAGTCAGAGCGTTGCTCGGATCGACCAGAGAAGGTAAGCGGTCAACCCGGCTTGTTTTGCAGGACATGTCTAAAAGCGCACCGCAGGCAACGGAATGTCTACCGGCACGGTGCAGGAGCTTTGATCAGCTAGAGCGTTGCTCAAGCGCGTGTCAGAGGGTTGCTCAGAGCGACCAGAGAAGCCTATAGCGGTCAACCCGGCATGTTTTGAAGGGCATGTTTGGAGTCAGCTAGAGCGTTGCTCAAGCGAGTGGCAACGCGTTGCTCAGACCGGAGAAGGCGAACGGTCAGCCCGGCTTGTTTTGCACGACATGTTTGGCAGCGGATCGCTGGCACCGGCATGGTAACTGTTGCGAAAGTATGTCTCAGAGCGTTGCTCAGATCGACCAGAGAAGCCTAGCGGTCAACCCGGCATGTTTTGAAGGGCATGTTTGGAGTCAGGTAGAGCGTTGCTCAAGCGAGTGTCAACGCGTTGCTCAGACCGGAGAAGGCGAACGGTCAGCCCGGCTTGTCTTGCATGACACGTTTGGCAGCCAGAGCGTTGCTCAGACCGACCGGAGAAGGCTAGCGGTCAACCTGGCTGGTTTTGAAGGGCATGCTTAGAAGAGAACCGCTGGCAGCGGCATGTGCACAGGCAGGGTGCAGAGCTTTGGGCAGCAGTTTCGAACGTATTTCTCGTAGCCTTGCCGACTGAACGTTCAAAGGGCATGGTGCCCGTAGGCACCAGGGTTGTTTTTCCGTCACAACGAGGGAAGCGATGTGTACCCTGCCTGCCTTGCCGGCAGATTACCTAGCGAACATGCCGCCTGAGAGCCGATCTGACCGCATACGCAGACAGGCAGTATCCGAATTGCAAACCGTAATTAAGTTCCACATTTGTCCCAGCATAGTCCCACCATAATCCCGCGTGATAGTGAATTATAATCTCAGCACTAGCCGCCTACTTAAGCCCAATATTTGTCCCAGAATAGTCCCATCATAATCCTAGTCGAGTCGCCATAGTCAGCCGAAGATTTGGTCCAGTAGAATGCCAAGACGTATGTCTATACGTGGCCCATGTGACGAGCTCATGACGGTACCTCCCAAACGCAGCCTCTGCGGAACCGGCCGGGAGGGAAGAAGTGTCCGGAGTAGCTCGTTTGAAGC